TGGTTCACTTTCTAAAAAGGCCATTTAGTTCTCTTTGGAATGATGTAAAAGCGAGCGTTCTTGCTCATTTTGCTTCCGAGAAACATGCAAAACGGAACGAAAAACATAAAATTTTGCAACAATCTTGCGCCACCCTTGCACAAAACGACGATCATTTTTCTAATTTCATAGACAACAGAAGACTGTAATTTTTCTACATAACCCCCCCTGAATTTATAGCTGGATCCGCCCCTGGTAGGCGTGACTGGATTTGACCAATTGCCAACCAGCTCCTAATTTGCTCTTACATAACAATGAAAAGGGTCGACGTTAAAATGTATTTTTAGCTTTAAAGATACGCCTACCGGACACCCAAATGCATGCAAATTCTGTAGTATTATGTAGGAAATTAAGTATATTTTTAACACCTTCTTCTCTGCAACCTATTTACTAATTATTATTATTTAGTTCAGCGGCTTAATCCCCGAAAAACTTTGTTCAGACCATCAATGCTTGAGAAACCAGAGGCGCAACCAAAATGACTGAATGTTTTCCTTTAAAGAACAGAAAACTTCGATCCCTTACACTTAGGGCACTATAAAAAATCGATAACTGACTGTAACAGCGAGTTTAGAAGTAACTATAGCGACAAACGTAATTTTGAAATAGTCACAGTCACAAATTCCCTTCACAAACACTCAAGCACTATGCCGAAAAGTTGTGGAGATTCTGATCTCTGTGATGAAGATGTGAAGGAGATGAAACCGAGTGCCATTGTGGGCTTTGATGGTAAACCGCCCACGAAGTTGAACTTAAAAAACTAGAACAACATTTCAGGTAACACGAAAAATGGCTTTATTGTACACCCCAATGGAAGACACGTAGTTTACCCGATTGGGAATAAAATCACCATCCAGGACTGGATAGTGAAAAAGCAAACTTTCCTTGTTGGGCATACGAACAATATCTCGGCGGTTTGCCTGTCGGCCACAGGAAAATATGTGGCCAGTGGCCAAATTAACCACATTGGGTTCAAGGTAGATGGCAAGTGGATGAGGGGAAAACTGTGTAAATTGGGGCTTATTCGCAGGCCTGCGTAATAATCTGGGATTTCGAGAAGCAGACGATTTTAAGCCAGCATGAACATCATAAAGTGCGAGTGGAGGCGGTGGTTTTTTCCAAAGACGAAAGATACTTGATATCTTTAGGTAATATCACAGTCAAAAACACGCTTAATTTGCACTATTTAATACTCTGATTTAACTTTCCTGACTTCGTGTACTTGTTATGATATTCTTATCTCTCGAAAGACAAATTTAAGGTTTCAAGAAGGCAAAGACCTAAAAGAACGTTGATTTTTACCAATCATGAGTTTGTGTAAATTTTAAATCTGATGATGG